TCAGAGAGCTCTTAGGGGTCTCTTTTATAAGGGCACTAATCTCATTTATGAGGACTCCAGTATCATAATCTAATCATTTCCCATAAGTCCCACCTTCAAATACCATCACACTGAGAATTAGACTTCAACATACGAAGTTTGGGAAGACATATATTTAGTCTATAGGAGACAATTCCCACTTTTTTCCTAATTTGAAAGTGTTTAGAATGCCCTTTCTAAAATTCAGACATCTTTTTTCCCAGGCAATTCATGTTGAATCCTAATGGCAAACATTGCAATCCTGAGTCTTGCTGTAAATGCATCCTACTGTGTACATCATGAAGTATTTCTAGTACTGTAATTGAAAGCAGTATTCCCAAAAGTTCAGACTGTTAGGGAAAAGGTAGCACTTAATAATTTTGTATTACCTTGTTCTTTAATTTGTAATAATAACCTCGGGTCAAACAGTTACACAGTTTCTGCTATACTAAGTGTATACAACTCACTTAAACATTGGTGGGAAAATCTATGGCTTCCAAAAAACAGGTACATTATATGAAAGGAATTCCATGAGTGGCTCAATTAAAAAGGGAAAAGTATGACCACTGAACCACAAGAAATTGCCATCTTGGTAAAAAAAAAAGTGAAATATTGGCAATTTCATGTGGTTCAACTTTATGCCATCCAGGAAAGTATGACTGATTTTGGTAGTTAGCATGAGAACTTGGGCATGAATAGAGATTTCATACTACGCACTTTATATATATAATTGCACTGCGCAGCTTTTAGAACATATGGGGAAATTTATTAATAATTTGAAAAAATTAGGGTTAAGATGTAAGCCTGACAAATTTATCAATATATAGTTAACTGATTATCTCCTATTACTAGGCATCAGGAAAGAATTTCCTACACTGCATCCTCATAGACTTGGAAATGCTATTAAGCCTGATTAGTATTTGTCCTACCTTGCTCTATCTAAATACACGTCAAAAGCCTGTAATTTACCAAGCACGGTACTAAGTTTTTGGAATCCTTAAAACACAAGAAGCTTCTTCGAAGTATAGAGCCCTATAAAAACTCTAATTATTCAACATCAATTAATGATATATGCCTTTTGTCAGATCTGGGAAGAGTGGTAGGGGACAGTTTTTGTAACAATAATCTGGAAAACTCAAATTTGAGATTGCTTTGTGCATGAATACTACCAAGTTTACTGTTTACCAATGTACAATAAGAATGACTTGGCAAGGAAGTATGCTCTGGAAAGATGCTATGTCTACCTGTAAGAAGAGACTCATTTTAATAAAAGTGTCCAATGGGTAGGTGGGTCCGTCAAAATGAGAGATAAAGTGGAAATGTCTAGTAGACAGCTACTTAAAACTGCAGCTCAAACTCACTTTAAAAGCTGAAAGCTATTAACTTCCACCATTCTGGCTGCAGTCCATACATGGGAAGTGTACAGACATTTTTCCTTACTACCTGAATCAAGCTTTTGTGCAGTACCTCTATTTTTAAGTGTAGACACAATTAATTTTAAGTTTGAAGAATCCTTATATAGTTGACACAGAATTCTACAGTTGAAGAATCAAGTTTATACATTCAATGGGGGTTAGGCCAAATTTTGTAATTAACAATCCTTAAACCCCAGAGGCTTAAAACAATTAAAGTTTCTAGATCATTCTATACATTTGACAAAGGGCTGTATTCACTAGTCTCTCAAGGTCCCAGGCTGATGGAGGCTGTTTCTGCAGCAGGAAGAGAACTTGGTGAACTGTACGTGTTCTCTTAAGGGCTTCCATAAGTAACACTATTCACTTCTGCTCCTATTTGTCAAAAGGGGACAGAGTTCAGTCCTGCCATGCAGAAAGAACTGGCGTATTTGTGAAAAGCCCTAATTACTACTATACTAGGTTAGGAAAAGATCCAAATAGTTTCTACCCATATTCAAATATAAGAAATCGCTCCAAATTCAAGTATAAATTATTTGAACTAGTGATAACTTCACTGAAAAAGTCTTCACTGTATTAGTGAAATATAGAGAAGTGGCTATATTCCTTCTGGTCTATAAAATTTCACTAGCTAGAACAAAGTATCATGTCATAGCAGATGAAATTTTCCAGTTTTGCTATGGACAGAGTATACATCACCTAAATCGTCTTATTTAGCATACAGAAATTTTCTACTGAAGAAAAAAACAGCATAACACTATCCTCCCCTCTACAATCAGCTCATTCTGAAGTTATACTATAAAGACCTGTGCTATGGTCTTTTACTGTGTAGAAAAAGAGGCTTATTAGTTTGATGTTTGGGTCCATGTTCCCAGTATTCAGATCTTCTCAATTTAAAATGGGGTTATGCCCCAATAAACTCATTATAAGCACAAGTCGAAAATGCATTTACTACACTTAATCTACTGAACATTAATCTTGGCCTAGTCCACCTAAAATCTGGTCAGGGCACTTACATTAGCCTACAGTTGGGCAAAATCACATAACACAGGTTTTTTTACAGTAAAGTTGAGTATCTCATGTAATTTACTGAGTACTGGACTGAAAATGAGCAACAGAATGGTTGCCGAGTGTGCCTGTTGTTCACCCTCATGATTGTGCAGCTGATGGGAGCTGCAGCTTTTGTCACTGCCCAGCAGCATGAGGAAGTATTATACCACAAAAAAGATCAAAATTCCAATCTGCAGTACAGACCCTATGAATATGCACTGCTTTCACATTACTGTAAAGTCGTGAAAATGGAAGTTGAATCATCCAAAGCTGGGGACCATCTACTATACAGCACAGTTGCAGAAGGCAGTATCTTCTGCAAACCCCAAAGCCACTTTTTCTCCATTTTGGGTAGAATACTAATTTCAGTGTCTACTACTCCCTTACGACCTGGGAGAAAATTCTAATTGCTCAAATCTCATACCGTGGTGCCTGCCATTCTCCTTGTTAGCGTACTATTTTGAAATGGATATATGACTCCTGTGGATGATGAGTGAAGGGAGCCAGCTGATGGGTTTCTAGGAAACCTTTCTTTACTCTTAAAATCAAAGTGATTTTTTTTTTTGCTGGATACTGTCAAGTCTGCACGGGATACTGAAACTATAGCAGACATCTTATGACAAAGAAATAGCTTATGAACAATAGGCTATTATAGAAGGCCCTTAAATTCAGAGCTCTTTTGTTTTATAAAACAATGAATTTTCCAATTCTTTAAACCAGTGCTTCTCAAAAGGCTGATCTTAAAGATGAACAGCTGCTGCCAGAATGTACATTAGTAATGTTATTTCATCAAGGAAGTCTGTCTACAGAATGTTAGATGGACTAGACAGTGTGATCAGTGATAAAGCTGAGTAAAATTTTAGCAGAAACTCCTAATCTTACTGAGTCTGTAGCAACCAGATTATTTGATTGGAGAACCCAACTCTGCAAGTTATCTGGGAAAAATTCATTTTTATCTGGAAAACACTGAAACACACATAGGGATGGAATTTGCTTTTTATGTAACTTCATCACTCTTGGCTTCAATTCAATAGGTGTTTGTTGACTTCTCACTACATTATACATGTAACATACATGAATAAACAAATAGTTCTCTGATCTCAGATCTTAAGCTGGTATGGGAGACAAGCAAGGAAATTAGTAATTACAGTACATGCTGAGGTAATTATGAAGCTGTTTACAGGGTTTGGAGACTTACATATAGTGTATTTGGAATCAAGGGAAAGCTTTACAGAAAGTGCCACCTGAGCTAAGTTAAGACTTGGGGGGTGGTACATAAAATTCCTGGAGCTATATTACCAGGGTGATGTCACAGGGAAATGACTGATGCCATGCTAAGCAGCTGGAATTTAACTGATGTTGACAGCTAATTATATGATCAGACTTGTATCTTTGTACCATGACTCCAGGCAATTTTGGACATGTTAAGGTTGAAGAATCTGCGGTACAGCTGGAGAGAACTTAATTTATGAACCCTAAACTCTTACTCTTGCTTCTACTTTTCCCAAACGTGGAATGAATGCCTTAATGATCTATAGAAAAACTACCCTGAGACACAGGATGACATGATTCATCAATGGATAATCAACAAATGATGTTCAAGTACAAGAAATAGCTGGGCAAGTCATACGGATTAAATTGGCCCCATATTTAAGTTGCTTCCAGGTGGTATTGAAGAGTCTAAAGATAGGTCGTACCACATGAACTAAGAGAAAAACAAAATTAAGGTTCCAGTAACTTAGTAGTTCAACAGTAGTGGCATATACGAACTCTGGGATTACAGTGAGGACCAACCTGCACAGCTATTTTTTTCCAGGAAAGGATGTTAAACCACCCAGAGCAGTCTTTCAAGAATCCAGAAATACAGACCTTTATGTGACTGTTCCAGTTTTTAAATATTGGTTTAAAAACAATACAGGAGTCCCTCACCAAAAACCTGTGAGGCTGAACAGACCACCAGTTAACCTATTTTATAGTGCTCTAACATCAGTGGTATTCCAAAGTGACCAAATTGGGACTGAAATATTCTGTAGCCAATTTCTTTTTCCCTGCCCTAATACAAAGAGCTAGGAACTAAGTCATTACATTTTAAGTAGCAAGAAGCATTTCACTACTCATAACATCAATTTGATTCACTATTACTAATCAGAGCCATCTTTTAACCCATTTCTACTAGGCAAAGCTCCAGAATAAATTGGGAACATTTCCTATAATTTATCTTAACATGCTATTACCTTCTATTTCAAATTTTCTATTTTTATTCAGTCTAAAGACGACTAATGTTGATCAGCAGCAAATTTATCAAGGCTAAAATTTTAGTTTTATGTTACAAGTCTGGAGGAAAAGATGCATTTCTTGAACTTCCATCTGCATACACTACTGGTTTTCCTCATGATTAACTTACCACTCACTGAAAACAAACCACAACTATCTGACTCCTTCAAAGTATGGACTAAAAATACTTTTTTTCTCCTTTTAAATCAACAACAACAACAACAAAATATAACAATGCAACCAAAGTCAGGCGTGCATTTCTCTTTATAATGTAAGTTGCCAACAAGGAAGGTCCTAACCGAATCAAAAATTAAATCTCAGAATTTAAGACCAATTAACAACTGAACTGCACATATTTTTATCAAGAACTAGTAATGGAATGTTACCCAAGTAAGAAAAGCAAGCACAATGCTCAATTTTCACATTCCATATTTCAGAGAAGAGGCATTAAGGATTCATGCTATAAGTTTATTTACAGACACATCTAGTATTTTGAACTCAAGAGTTTGATCCATTTTCAAAGAGACTGCACCTCTTAAAATGCTCCCCTGCATATCTGTGAACAAAAACACAAAAAAATTAATGGTATTAAAAAAAATCCCATTCATTTACAGAAACCCATGTAGTTTCATTAATGTATTGTCTGTCAGTTTATTACTGGTACATCAGAAAGCGTTTACAGTATCATGTCTTTATTCATACTGATTTGCTTCATCATATGCACCAAAATCTCTTCATATTAATGGCTTAAATAAATCATTTCCCTTTTAAACCAAGACAAGTACAATTTTTCCTTTCCAAAATACATTTTGGAATTTATTCTAATTATCCCACAGAGCATCCCACAGTATTGCTTTGAGAAAAATTTGATTACAATTAAACTACATAAATAATTTCATCTCATACAAGGAACTTGCTAACCTCCGAGCACACAAGACTCCTTTGGGCATGTACTAACACACACCACTCTCAAGATAAAACTAGTATTTATCAGTATACTAGAATTTTACCTGGTTAAGAGTGTGAGCTCTGGAAAAAGGGTAAAAATCCTGGTCCACCATTACTAGCTAAGGGTTGGACACTGGGCAATTAACATCTTTGTGTCTCAGATCAAGGTACACCATCAACCTCATAGGCTTGCTAGGGAACCACATGAGATTATTAAAGGTGCCTGACAAATAGTTGTACTCAATAAACATTGGCTTTCAGGTGAAGAAATACTCGCTTAAAGGTTTCCAAGTCATCTCCACCAATGTCAAATCTACACTTAACTTCAGGAATCAGCCCTACAGATAACAACGTATTTGTGTGAATTTGGGGGAAGGGGTAGAGGGAGAAAGGAATAAAAGGGAAAGCATTGCTTTGGGAAGATAAGAAATCCATTAATTACCTGTTTCATGAATTAAATAAAATATCCTTATTTCTTAAGCAGTTGGTGTCTTACTATAAAGAAAGGTGCGGCAAATCCAGACCCAAGGTACAGAGTCATCATAATTAGTAACCGCCACTTGTTTTCCACCGAAAACGGCAAATTCTGTTGGGGCGAAAAAAAGAACAAGCAACAAAACGTAACTTCAAACCATCTGACTTTACCTGAAAATTAGTACACAAGGCTGCTACATTTTGTACATAATCAGGCTATAATATCATAGCATCTTTTAAAAAATTATCTTTCAAATTCTGTGACCTTCATCACACATAACACTAAAATGTAAAAAAAAATCTGGCGTACTGAGCACCAAGCAGTGGTCTTAGTACTCAGGTGTAAGGTTTTCTCTTGTATTTTAGGAAATCGAAAGAATTTACTCTCCAAAGGGCTAAAGTTTTTCATAACCAGGCAGTCCAACCTCCACACCCATTCTCAGCCCTTTACTACTAGGCCTTTACAGCACGCTAACTACCCAATTTAAGTCCAAGCTCAACCATGGAGGGCTAATACCTCTGATTTGGTCGACTAGTTAAGTAGGACTCGACGCACAACCAGAGGCCCTCACATCCTCATTTGTTTCCAATGACCTCCACTTCGAGTCCGGTGACCTCTGCCTCAGCTTTGGGCTACAATACCTGCAGCCACGGTCAGCAGAACTCTCCAGAGCTGGGAGGGCGGAGAGGTGAGGGCGGGCGGGCGCTAGGACGAGGGAGGGCCTCCGGCTCTACTTACTCATTGCTCTGCACGGCCAAGGCGGCTGACCAGGGGCCTACTCTTTCTTCCTGCTCCCTGGGCGAAGGGGGACACTCGTCGGCGTCCCGACTCCCATTCTCGGCTTACTACCTCCCTCTCCACCGCCGTAGGCAGCCTCGGGGGTAAGCGATTCGCAGCCAACTGCTCCTGCCCCAAACGTAGCTTGGCCCCTTACATACTAACCTTCCCTGGGCCCTCCTCATAGTGGCTCCTACGGACCACAGAGGTTGTGAACCTCCGGATGCTCTGTCCCAGCATAGCGCTGTTGGGAGTTCTGCGAAAGGTGCAGAGACCAAAGGCAGAAGAAATGGCGGCACGACACCAAGTCCTCCGATTTTCACGACCTTGTTCCCTGAAGTGCAAAAACCGAAAAGGGCGATGGGAAATGGGGCAGAGCGCGCGGACAATGCAACAACGTGCCGGGCCTCGGAGTTTGTGGGAATTGTAGTTCAGCTCTTTGCGGCGCCTGGTCCCTGAGGGATTGTGGGAAATGTAGTCTAGCGCGAAGTTATGGGCGGGCCAGTACCTAGTCGTTTCCTACCAGCGGTGATTTCATTCAGACCTGAGTTCCTTTACTGATTTAGTAAAACAGCTTTCCCAAGTGCTCTAGTTTATGGAAAATAAATCTCTCCCGTTTCTTTTTTTTGTGTTAGATGCCGGTGATTCGCAGTCCTCTGCTAGCGCTGACGAGAGATGTATGCTATGATCTTAGTCAATGAAACAAAGCGTAAACACAATTAACCCAACAATATACAGTACAAAGGACGTCAGAAAGAAAACAGGTGAAATGCTAAGCGAAGGATTCCTGAAAATATAGGGAACTGAATAGAACAGGGACAGTATGAGTATGGCATGTTCTCAGTGTGGAAAAGAAAAGAAGCCTCTGCTATCCAAAGCCTGGACTAGGAATCCGTGTTCTCATGCTGAACATAAACAATTTCACAGAACAAGAGCAACAGCAAACTAAATATACATTTTGTTATTTATGTACATTATGTACATAAATATGTTATTATGTACATTAGACTCTAAAGGAGAATTTAGAAATATTAAATGTGAAAAAATTCCCAATTATTGTTAAATCAGAATCCTTTAATACATATGGAATTGTAATATTGAATGGATAATTTATTCAAAAATTGAATATCATATATTGACACAAAGTTACTCTGTATCAGTGATGGATCAAAAAAATAAGATCATTCTGTTACCATTTCTGAACATAGATAAAACATGAACATTGTCCAAGGAATAAAAGTGACCAAACATCACCAGGTCCATTCTGACTTCTGCTTCTTTACCAATTACAACCTTACTTGTCTTTCTTCCTCCTAAATAAGATTAAGTAAGATAGCCAAAGTCACAGGAAACTACCCCAAATCCTGTAAATCCTAACAACTTCTTACTGAGATACCCATGGTTCCTTATGGTATTCGACTTCCTCGCTGCAGTGAGTATAATCCAGTTTGTTCAATTATAGGGATGTTCCTGGTGGGCATTGGGAAGAAACCAGTGGTAAATTAGGCTGAAAGAGTGATATTAGGTTAAACTGTGAAGGCCCCTGCTAACCTAAGTTTTATGTTGTTCATAAAACAACAAAATGTGGGAGTGAAAATTGCCTCAGATGGCTCATTTATACAGCAGCAGAAACAATGAATAATAAGACCTAAGGCTTGCTTTGAAAACCGGGTATAAAATGTATTTTTTAGTCTTCCTTTAGCTTTCAGAGGAGAAATGTTTCCCCCAATTTAAAAAAAACTTTTATTTTACAAGTAACTTCTTATCGATGCATTATAATGCATGTAATACATTGCAATTGTTCTCCTAATAGAGGATATATGACACTCAAGTTTTAAAAAATCCCATTAAGAATTAAAATCCTATATGTATTAAAGGATTCTGATTTAATAATTATTGAGAAATGTTTTCACAAGTAATGTTCCTAGATTCTCCTTTAGACTCTAATGTAAATAATAACTCTTGTACATTTAGTTCATTGTTACTCTTAATTTACATTAATTCAGTCTCCTCTCTTTACCTGGCTTTTGGCTAACTCCAAAGGGAACTCCAGGAGAAATTCTAGCACATAGCTTTGGAACTCTCTGCCTCCTCATGAGCCCTGGGGCAAATTAAAGATAGCTGCAAATTCTTTTTATCAAGAGGTTAGGTCTTTGCCTTCTCTCCCTAAATCTGGTTGGACTCTCTGTGACCATTTTGACCAAGAGAATTTGGCATCAGTGATGCTGTTCCCGTGTACCCAGGCCTTATAATACTGCAGCTTCCTTTGCTGCCTCTAAGAATACTTGCCATTGAAACTCTAATCCTTCATTTACAAAGTCTAACTTTGCTGGAGAGGCCTCCTGCAGAGTCCCAAGAATCCAAAGAAGTGGGTGTCAGCTGGGTGTCAGACATATAAATGAACTCTCTTTGGCCCTCCAGCCTAGTCCAGCTGCGAGCTGAATATCACTGAGTGACCTCAGTCGATGCTGTGTAGACAAGAGTTGCCCAGTTCAACTCTGATCAAAATACTGACTACAGAGTGGTGATATATAATGAAACGGTTGTTCTTTCAATCATAAAGTTTGGGGTAGTTTGTTATGCATTAATAAATAAGACACCTAGAAGTAACACAGCTGCATGATTTAGGGAAATCATCTGCCATGAGAAGAACATGGTTTCTTACCATCAATCTACACATTTGGGAATTTGGCTGTCATTTAAAAATTTTATCTTAGCTTACTACATATCTTTCTCTCAAATTATGCTTCTGTGATAATTCTCCAGCTGTGATGAAGATTGGTTATGCTGAACATACCCAAACATTGAATGTCTGGGTGGCAGAGTGGTTCCATTTGATGGTGTTGTAACAGATGGCATAATTTGAGGAGTGTCAAACACTCTCACAAATGCATTTTGCAGCTTTTTAATGTTCCTGATGAGTTAGGAGGTAAACTGGAACGGTACTGAAAATGGCTGAGATCACTTACTCCTTGCATGATTATTCACCTTTGTATTAATGGCTAGATATCAACCATCCAGCATGTTCTTGATAATTATTTAAAAATATTTTCTAATGAATGGTTTTGTTAAAAAGTTAAAGTGAGTACAAAGGAAAATTTTCTATTAGTTTCCTTATTTTTCTTAAATGCTGACTAGTAACCAATTAATAAGTTAAAATGACTAACATATCCTGAGTTTAGGGGTTTTATGCTAATCGCAATCTCTTAAATTCATTATGGAGGGAAGAAGAAGTTTAAAGAAATTTGCTGATCTTCCATTTTAAAATAGGTATTGTGGTAAAGATGGCCACAATTTCTTTTGACTCTTCCTATTGATAGATGGAATCTAATTCTCCTCTTGACCTTAGCGATCTGCTTGACCAATAGAATGCAGTAGAGCGACATTCAGAGCCATCTGAGACTGGCTTTTACCAAAAGTCCTGCAGTTTCCACTCAGGCAGCTTGGAATGTTTCCTTGAGAGGAGTCAGCTACCACGTAAGAAGTTTAACCATCTTGAGAGTGCCAGGACTATGAGGAAGCCCAAACTAACCAACTGAAGAAGCCACATGGTTGGGGGTGGGAAGAAAAGAGGAGAGAAGACATATTTGAGAGCAGTTCCCAGCTCTTCCTGCTGTCCCTCATCACAGGCACCAGAAATATGCATAAAGAAGCCTGCATGTGACTCCAGTGACTCCAGCCTCAGTCATGATTTGCCCACACCTTTATGTGGTATATTAAATGAGGAAATGCCCAACTGAACCCAACAGCCTCTAGAACTGTAAGAAAAATAATAATCTGTTGGTTTAAGCTGTTAAATTTTGGGGTAGTTTGTTGTTTATACAGGAGTACAAACCTGGAACAGGTATCATGCACAATTTCATATACATGTAGCCTAATGATCTAAATTCATTCGTAATTGTTGGCAAGAAAATGTGAATCATCCTAGAGAAACTTTTTGATTCAGTGTGATACTCTTTTGCTATAAAATGAAATTTAAGAGAAATGAGATATTTCATGTGTTGGTACAAAATAGAAAACATCTTTAGGGACATGAGGTTTACTCCAAAGTTACATTTTAAACATAAAATCCAATTACTTTAAGTAGCGAGTAGGGTGTATATCATAGAGTGAGCAACGTACTTTTAGACTCACATGAGTCTTTGGAGACTGAAATTACATTACACAAAACCATATATCTAAAAATTAAAGTACAATATTTGTCATTTCTCTCAATAGCTACTATATTATATTTTTAAGAACTAGGTTAGAGTTTATTTAAAAATAGGTTGTTCAGTGAAGAAATGATGTTTCTATTCTACACTGAAAAACTCAAGTTACCAAATTTCTTTTGGTATTAAGTTTTTAGAATTTCTCTTTATTGTAGAATTAAAGTCAGAATTTTGTGTTAACTTTTAGTTGAAATTTTATATTTGTTGAGGGGGGAAAAAAAGCCTGGTTTCAAGAAAGGAGAAATTGCAATTTCACTGAGGCAATTGGAATTGGAAAATATTCTGCTATGTTTCTGAATGATTTAGTGATGACTGCCTGGAAAAAAACTGTTCTGCAGAAAAAGGCTTACTTGATCAAACTGTACAATTTACTCTTCATCTTGTTTCATTACATTTGAATACTATTTTTTCCCTTAAAAGCATTTCATCTTTCTATTCCAACTTAATTGCTTAAGCTCAATGTAGGTTTAAGGATGATTCATCTTTTTTAGATTAACTCATAATTATTTATCATTGAGAATTGCCAACTTTATATAGATACATTTTGTAAGATAAAGAAACTAACATTTCTAAATTTGAAAATCACTGATTCTAGTTCCATCTTCTTGACTTAACTTGCAATGATACTTGTTATAATGCTTTGAACAAATTTCTTTAAATTCACCATGTCATTTGGTTCTTGTTCCTATAACTAGAACACTAAGTAGTTAAGTAGACTCATATTTTATTTTAGGGAAACAAAATATAAATGAGGAAGAGGATTTTGAAAATGAATTTGATGCATGATTTAGAAAATATATATTTTTTGTTAGATTAGAAAAAAAGCATGAGATATACAACAGAACCAAATTTCTTTCATTACATGTGATGGTTATAAAGAACTGTGCGAATAAAGACTATCTGGAAATTTTGATTTATAACCAGTCCCATTATTGCTGATCAGTGTATGTAAATATAGGTGTTGCTATATTAATACTCTCTAAGTGAGGTTGTAGGAATCCAATCAAAGGTGTTCTGTTCCTCTGGATAACAGGTTGGCAACTACATAGTTAATATAATTCATCAAGATGTGTTTGTTTATGCTATAGCAGTTTTTGTATTTGGCTTTTCAGTTTGGACGTACAATTAAGAAAAATGAGATTTATTTGAG